ATGTCGCGTTCACCTGGTGCGGTACTTACCTGAGGTTGATGGACACCCTTCTGCGGGATGAGACCGGCAGGGACGACACCCTAGCCAGTGACCGCATGAGGCACAAGTTGCCCACGCGAGTGCCTCTCCAAATTGGATGTCTTCGTTGGGTTCCGTGGGAATTGGCAGCATAGCGGTCGCACAAGCAACGGATCAGACTGGCATGCGGGTTGAGGGTCTGCCCCTATCAGTTTCTGGTGATCTTACCGGGCATTCATGCAAGTCTTTAGGAGTTAGTCCCACGAAAGATCGATTGTTTGCGCCAATTGCGAGCTCACCTTGGGCTCAAACAAGCTCAATCAGCTCACCTTGGGTTCAAACAGGCTCACTCATGGAGGTAAGACTCCCGTACCTCCCGGGGTGACTGGAAGCAGTGGCTGAGTTGCGGGCAAAGCACCGCAGGTCTCACGGACCTTCGGCTCGCGAGGCACTCGGCTCGCGACTCGCGAGGCACCTGGAGCACGACCCTGCTGCCTTTCAAAGCGAGCAGGAGACGGTGGCACAGCTGATCCATCAGGATGGGAGGGTCAATGGGTGGGTCTGAAAATGCTACCTGGGGTAGACTTAGGATACATTTGACATTTTACCAGTGACTCCATGTGAAGCAAACAATAACATATACATTCTATAACTGGGCCTAACTCTAATCATGCTACACCCCATAGGTGTCCTTTTTGGTTGGATTGCTTCAAACATAGAGGGCCCTGGTTTAGATGGGGTTTGTTCCATAGGGCCATCTATTTTTTTCCAAAAGGCCACCTATGGCTGAACCCCCCTCTTGGCCGGTTTTTGAACGGGACATTTCTCGGGGAACAACCAATCTGAGAGGTTCGCAAGCATACTGCAAGTAGGGAACAAGGACACTCACGTGATTTACCATGCAATTCTGTTGATGATGTACTTCCAGTACGTTGGGGACCGATTGTAATTAGGCATGTTGCTTGCCTAAGATTCGGCTTCTCCAAAGTTGGCAGACCTCAGCTTGCGCTTTGAGCCTGCAAAAGGGAGTGCTTGTGTTTTCACGCATTGGCTATAAGCACCGGCAGAGCAACTTCCATTTGCTTAAGAATATTGGTTATGTTCCCTTGTTGGTTCAAGGGATATCATCAGTACTGGACATATGTTCAGGTCTTTTTTGCAGTGGACTTAAGCAAATGGAAGGCAATATTCTACGCAAAACGTAGCGAGCCAGCCGAGGTGTGAGGCAAGGACCATGGTAATCACTCCGCATGCAGTTTTTCGGCGGCATATGCCAAGCCTGGGAGTTGTTGATTATTGTTTGGGGATCCTTGATTTACATCTGGACACCAAGTTGGTGGATACAATCCCCTGTGGTTTTGTTGAGAAAGAGGGAATCTCTCGGTTCGCGAGCACTGCTTTCTTGAAGAGAAACCGTTTGCGATGGTTTCCAGGCACCCTCCCACTGTTGATGCACGAGAAGTCGAGGATCCTCGTAATTGTTCAGCCGTGAATGAGGCACACAGGCGATCCCCTTGCAGGGTGCCTTGGCCAGGACCAAGTAACGACTTGAAGAACACATGTGAGGAACCTTGCACGCCTGCGTCTCCTTTGGTGACGTGATTCTGCAAACAGCGAACCATTCCAGATAGTACTGTGGATGGACAAAATCCTGCACCACCTAAGAGTCCCTGGAATCATGATTCCCCCGCAAATACCAACAAACAATGGTTGCCCATGGTTTCGAAGTGGTGCAGGATTTTGTCCATCCACAGTATGTGTGCTGGCAAGCAAAGCATTTGCCAGGGCCAATCATCGATGAGGCTCATTTGGAGTTCCTCGGGTTCTGCTTCCCCCCCTCACCGATCCGGATAATTTGGTCCATTCTTCACTTACTCCCTTGCATAAACCCAAAGGAGATTCCTTCAGAAAGACTCAAAGCTTTGGGGCTAAACAAGCAGGTGCCTTAGGGAAGCACCACGCCGGGAAACCTCCAGTCAGCTTCCATGTACAGTAAATGGGTAGAAATGGGTGGAAGGATAACCATACTTCTGGGTCCATGCATTCACGTTGACATTTTCAGAGGTTCGTGGGTCCAAGTGGTTTCCCTTAAGCCACTATTCAGGAAATGTCGAGGACACGTCTCATGAACCTACTTGCCGTTGTTGGAAGGTGCGGCATGAAGATCCCAGCACGGTCTTTCAGATGCTGAAGCTGCTGTGGGAGTACTTTGGGGAGGCCGGCAGTCGCAGCCGGCGGAAGCGTGGCTTTGGGTGTGGCTGGTTTGGATCCGGCGCAGAAGATGCAATGACGGTCAGATGTTTGTGTGTGTGTGTGTGTTCTTTTGAGGCATCGTTTTTTGGAGTTGGTGCTAAAGGGAAGCCAAAGGCAAAGCCAACTTTTTTGGTGGTCCCGAGTCTAGCACACACCCGTGTGACTGGGCAATTCAGCAGAGGTCACACATGTGGATGCAAAACGCACATATTGTGCTTGCGAGAGCTTCATACTGTCCTCGAGCATTGGGGCCCCGAAACACGAAGCACGTGCCACGGGTTAGACGATCGACCCACAAGGACCAGATATTGATCGTCTTTTTTTGTCGCCCCAAAATGAAGGCTTTCCTGCTGGTTTCCCTTCAAAGCCATTCAAACAGGGGTACCCTCAAAAAATGACACATGCGTATGATCCCTTCCCCCAAATCAAATTAGCATCGATTCCCCTAATGATATTTTGTATGCTTTCTCAAAGTGTCCCCCAACTGCACTTGAATTACGCCCCTGCTCCACTGCCTCCTGGTGTGTTCAGTTATTTTGTTTATGTACTGATTTGTCACTTCATGGTTGTTGTGTTGTGTTATTCGATGTTGTTTTATGTTATTGTAATGTTGGATTTGATGTTTGTATTTGTGTATTTATGTACTTATATACTACTTCGTGTCTGTACATGATTTATGCAACGCTTGTTTTCTGTGGACGTGTTGGGTTTGGAGAGTCAGCACCTTTGGTTTGTCCAGGCGTCCCAAGGTGCCAAAAGCCGAACTCGGTCCCCCTGAACAAGAAATATGTTTTGTCAAACACATGCTTACTGTGTGGGAGCACGTGCGGGACCTGCATTATTAAGGGCACCGGATTGCCGTTTGATTGCATAGGGAGTGTCTTGCGCTCCACAGGGATGGACAGTTGAAGAGGCGTAGTCAAAGCGCGCCCAACACCAGCTACTGAGACAGAGACACAGAGGTAGAAAGTGAAAGCCACTGAGACAGTGTCAGGCGTCCAACAGCAACTTTGCTCGCATGGATATGTTGCTCCCGCGACATGGATATAGCTACCTTTCGGGTGCACGGCGTGTTCTAACGAACCTCCACTCTCCAGTTCCAGCCAAGCAAGGAATTTGGCATAGACCTTGGCCCTGAAAGGGATGTAGCTGAGGGCTCTGTAAGGTTCAGTATCTACTACACCACCCAAAAGGGCTACCTACTCCGATTGCTCCCTCATGTAACACATTTGCCGCAGTTTTACAAATGGTTGCGCCACACCAGCGGAGGGGATGCAGTTTTGTTCAAATTCGGGCAGTTCATGTGGGGCGTGCAGATCTATTTCTCTTTGTTGGGGGGAGTTGTTCCCCACTGCCAACCCCAAGCCATCCCACCCTTACGGCCTTTTCAGCGCTGTTCGGTTTCCAGTGGTAACATTGTTGCTTACTCAAATGTCTTGGGCTTGTCCAGTGATAGATTCCGACATCCACCATCACCACCACCACCACCACCACCACCACCACCACCACCACCACCTCCTGGATTTGTACCATCACCATCCCCCATCAGCCCACCACTCACCCCCGGAGGGTGGTCCTCACCGGGTGGTCCACACAGTGCCCGCCATGCTGGCTGCAGTGCTGCGCCTGGCGGGATGCCCCAATGTGCCGACCGATTCGACTCCAGGTGGCTTCCTTTGTTTGGTGTTTGCTTTTGGGCATTTCTTCATTTCCCTTGAACTTAGTTTCCTCGTGGTAATGTTGCTTGTTGGTGGTTTTCCTTGAACTTAGTTTACTCGTGGTAATGTTGCTTGTTTTTTTGTGGATTGCCTTGATTGTTTCATGTGTTGGGTGAATTGTCTAATTTGGATATTTTCTGGGCCTGCGGTCTCTAGCCGGCTACGCCTCTTTGAAGTTATACCACGTCATGTCATGTTTTGTGCATGAGAAACGTATCCTGTGCTATGATATGGCTTGTTAGGTTATGCATGTTGCCCACCTTAACCCCAGATAATGCCGGGGATGCCGGCTTTCTGGGCCCCAGCCGGGCCCCAACCCAGAAGGCTGACATGGGGTCGCGCGCGCGCGCGCGCCAGAGGACCCAAAAAAAGCAGCCCAAAAAGAGCAGCCCGCAAGCCAGCCCGGAAACGCAAATGCAACAAAACACCGTAAATAGTAGCGTTTTGTGGCTGGGGTCGCGCGCGCGCGCGCCAGAAGGCCCGAAAACCAACGGGACAAAAGCAAGGACCGCGCAGCACGCGAGCCAGCCACAGCAAAAGCAAAACGGACAGAACACTAGCCCAACGCTCAGCACAGCAGTTTTTGGCGGTATTTACAGCGTTTTGTAGAGCGAGGACCCAGCATCACCGGCATGCCCGGCAGCGCTTGGCGCCAAAATGCGCAAAAATGAGCCTCGCTTATACCCCTCCGATACCTTCTTTAAAACAGTGCTTCATGGGTCGAGAGGCTTTTTGGAAGGAAGTCTTGGTGATGCAGACCAAGCCCCGCTGAAGCATCACCCAGGCCCAACCCCAGACCCTGACGATGTCAGCCACATGGCCTAAACCCTGCATATGCGCGATGTTTCGCGAGGGTTTTCCGCAATCAAGCAAAACCGCAAGCCAGAGCTGGTGATGGAGAGTTGCCGGATTTAGGCCGCGCATCACGACCAAGTGGCGAGGGTCGGCGGCACCAGGGTGCAGCGGCGACATGCTACCCCAGGAGGCGTAGCCGGATTTACACGCTGACGCGACACAGCCGGCCACCGGGCACCCTGCCCTTTTCGTTCTATCATTTCCGTTTCCTTTAATTCCCGATAGTTCCCGGGATTTGAACTTCACTTCCTTTACATGTCTTCCCTGCATGTCCGACAGCTTCCTGGCATGTCCCTTCACTTCCTTTCGCTTCATTTCCGTGTCAGCTCCCTTGATTTCCTTGAACGCCCTTTCATTCGCATTCCTTTCCCTTAGTTCTTTTTAGTTCCCGTGACTTCAACCTCGCTTCCCATTTCACGTCACATTCCTGGGAAATTCCCACAATTTCTCTTCGTTCCCACCCTCCGTTCTGCCCGTGCATTTTCCTGCGTTTTGGTTTCTCTCCAGCGCCCTCTTCATTCGTGCAATTCCTTTCACTTCCATTTCGTTCACTTCCAGACACAAGTTTGCTTGCATTTCCCCTTCGCGCTCTGCAATTTTCAGCCCTTGTTTCGCATCGCCAGCATACATAACATCATCCGCATCATTTGGGATGATGCTGGTAATGCTGGGGGTGTTGTCCAGTATTAGGCGACCCCTAAAAATACTCGTTTTTTGACGCTGCGGGGAGATGCTACAAAACGGCACGTATGCTCATGGTCCGCGCATGGTCGGTCGGCGGCATGGGGTGGACGGCCTTGTACCTGAAGGTAAGCCCTGCGGGCTTGGCCTGCGGCCGAATCACGTCAGGTGGCCGGATGTACTTTGCTGGCGCACAACCGGCCGCGGCAGCCGCGACGCTGAATTCCACATAAGATGGAAAGAGAATAAACATTCTACGGCTTTAAGATTTGAAGGCTTCAAGGGTTTAAGGTTGTACTTCTAAGTTTCAAGTTTTTAAAGATGCTAAAATTTACAGATCTTACGATTTTAAGATCTGAAGATTCGACTATGTTCAGTCTCTGCAAGTTTGCAGCTTTTTAGATTGTAAGAAATTAAGCTTTTACTTACAATCTAAAAAGCTGCAAACCTGCAGGAACTGACCATAGTCGAATCTTAAGATCTCTTAAAATCGTAGGATCTGCAAATTTAAACATCTTTAAACACTTGAAACTTGAAAAGTAGAATTACAACCTTGAACCCCTGAAACCTTAAAGTCTGAAAGCCGTAGAATGTTTATTCTCTTTACATTTAAAGTCTGAGAATAATAGAATCATAAAATCTTACAGTTTTATCTTAGAACACTTTAATCGTAAAATCTTTAAATCCTCAAATTTCGTTTTTCCTCCAAAAAACCATAAACTAGTACAATCTTAAAATCTTTTTGGAGATTGTACTAGTTTACGGTTTTGCGAGGTTAAGCGCTTAAGATTCTAAAATTTGAGGATTTAAAGATTTCACGATAAAAGTGTTCTAAGATTGTAATTTTATGATTCTATTATTCTCAGACTTTAAGACTTTGAGATTTCATTAACAAAGGCCGGCATCCCCAGCATCATCTGCATCACCGGCACGGGCCTGCAGACCCACAAGCCCAAGCCTGAAGATTAAAAGCCGGCCCCAAACATGCCAGAAAGCGCACCCCCAGAAGCAGCGCAAAAATCCGCGGAAATCTCGCCCAGACACGCCCACCAATCCTTCGCCCCTTAGTAGGGCGGGCGCAGCGCAAAATGCTCATCACTTTCTTTTTCACGCATCCCCGGCCGCATCGTCGGCATGCACAGGGTCGGCGGCACCATGCGGCAGCCCCATAGAGCTTCGCTCTAGAGCCTTGCCCCACAGGACAAAGGGGGAGGATCCGACACAGCCGTTCGGCCAGTTGGCCGCGGCCGGATTAACCAGGCTCCCGCCTCCTGCCGCCGACCCTCAAAAGTCATAAGGACCGGTCCTGAAACACGGTCCCAGTCTGGCGTCTCTTGCAACAAAGATTTACGGAAAAGTCCCCAAGTCACGTCAAGTTTGCCCAGGAGGGACGTCCTGGCACCAGTCCTGGGACTGGGCCCAGGACCGTTTTGGCAGGACCAGTCCCAGGACCGGTCCCAGGTCCCAGTCCGGGACCGGTCCCGTCCACGTTTTGTGCTTTCGGGCGTGTTCAAATCACTTCATTCCAGTTGCATCCCACGCCGGTCGCCTCTGCAGTGAGGTTGGGACGGGAGGCAGAGGGGCGGATTTTGTGGTTTTCCCCAAACAGGTCAACGCATGTCGGAAACCTCCAGGATTGTGGCCGGGGGCATGGGATTCAAATTTCAATCGAAAAGGGATGAGCCCAAAGAACAAGCCCAGAAAACAAAAAACACTTTTTGACCATAGGCATTTGGTGGCAGCTATAGCCATTTAGTGGAAGCTACCATAGCCATTAGTGGCCACTGTAGACTGTTGCTCCTGAAAGAAAAGGCCGATCGACTTTTTGTCACAATCGTCGTGGCCCCGTTCAATGAACGATGACCATTGCAACTGGCCCAGTGTGGTACTGTTGTCTGTGTCGGTGCAAATATGTTCGTAATGCCTAGGCTCAACAGGGTCTAATTCTTCAATCACGCGACATGATGGTTGCCCTTATGTCAGAAAGCCAAGGCTGCTGTTGTGTGTTTGTGTGGTGTGTGTGTGTGTGTGTGCATTTGTGTGCGTGTGTGTAGTGGGGCTATGGCATTTTGTCAAAGCCACCCATATCCAGGCCTAAGCAAGGCGCCACCTAGCTCTACACAACAAACTCATGTTGAACTCTCTTTAACTGAGCTTGTCGCAAAAAAGGTAGATGCGCAAAATGAGAGCCAGTGCATGCCCCCTCAGGGTAGTGACTTTGCCTGGCGATACTTCCTGGTGTCCCACCAACGATACAACCATAGCCTATGTTACACACCTAGCTCTACACAACAAAACCATGTTGAACTCTTTAAAATCGGTTTGTCGCAGTTGCAGATGCAAGAAATGATATTAGTGCATGCCCTCAAGAGGTGACGGTTGCCTGGCGATACTCTTGAAAACCTACGTGATTTAGTATAAAGGTTGTTTCAAGCACATGTAGCACATCAACACAAGCATTTTTATCCATAAAGCAACCCCAAAGAAACCCAAAGGATCGCGCAACGGGCTTCCCACTGGCCCAAACTTTCTTAAGCCTTCCACGAGAGAGCAGTTTGGACCTGAGGCGAAACCCTTCGCGAACCAGCTGGGTCCAGAGCTGTCTCAGAGGACTTCCACATAGTTCTACCTTCTCCAAGCTGTTACCCCTGAATGAACATGGGATGCATGATCTTTGTCTACTGTTTGGGTATGTATTCACAAATATGGACACTGTAAAGGGTATACGGCGTATACGGCATGCGCTGTTTTGTTTGGGTGTCTGCATATCGTAACTATTTTGCATCACCAGCCGTCATGGTAAAAAGTCTCCTTTTAGATTGACGTCCTCCCAATGTCTGCGTTGCTTTGGGGCGAGATGGCGAGCAGCTTGGTTTCTTGCACCGCACATAGACCCTCTGCCTTAGGACCGTAGGCGCGTAGCTGGGATTGGGTCGCCCTAGTTGGGACCCTTGACTTCCATTTGCTTAAGAATATTGTTTATTTTCCCTTGTTGGTTTAAAGGGAATCTATCACTACTGGAAATAATTTTCCCGGGGGCTTAAGCACATGGAAGTTGACAACATAGGAGAAAGCTGCCTCCGTTGACTACTGGTATGTTGATGAGTCTCATGTTCGGGGGCGTTTTTTTTTGGAGGGCCCTTTCGAGCACAATGGAAAACGTGCCCCGTGTCGAGGAGCCAACATCTGATATGAGAGACATCCATGCCATTCCTATATTTAGAGGTGGACGCTTTCGAGACAAAACCCTGACGCACTGCCAAGAAGGATTTCTTGAGAGACCTTGCACGTCACGACTTGGCTGATTTTTGCCGACATCTTCGACCGAGCTACAGTAACCTTCGAACTGCTTGGAAAATGACTGCTCCCCCACTAGCCAGCGTCAAGTCTAATGTGTTTGCAATGGGTATTTCTGTTGGTGCTTGCACCTTGGAAGCATTCTTCAAAGTCACATCGCAGTCGTCCTTCTGTGCCACTCTTAATGGCACTCCAAATATGTTTAT